AGGTGGGAGGATTGCTTGAGGTGAAATAAAAACAAAAGTACTGATGTCATTTCGAGGTCTAGGATATTAAGAAGGGATATGACTTTTCTGTCTTCTATTTTTTCACTTGCCAGAGTAGTACAAAAGGTTATAAGGCTCTAGAGGAATAACAATGCCACAAGATGGGAGGAACTTGGGTCTTTCAATCACCAAATGGAGAAGAGGAACGTACCAGGAATACCTACTTTGGAATGCTGTTTAAGTGAGAAATACACTTTTATTTTGTAAGGCTGCTGAAATTTGGAAATTGGTTCATAATATCTGCTCACATTACCTTAACTTACATAATCTGGGTGTTTTTATTCTGAAAAGATTTATACCTTTTTCATATGGTGGTCAGAAATACTAGGAGATCTCACTAGATGTTTTATGCTACATGATTCTAAGAATATCAGGGCTTCCATTATCTTTATATTCATCTACTTTTGCACCACTGAAAGAAATTGCCTTCTGACACATGGCTTTATAAAGTGGTGTGCACATTTTTAAGGTTTTATTTTATTTTATTTTTGTCTGTTGCATGCAAGATGATTCTCTAACATAGTAATTAAGAAGGTGGCTCATTCCTGTAATCCCAGCAATTTGGGAGGCCGAGGCAGGTGGATCAGCTGAGGTTGGGAGTTCAAGACCAGCCTGATCAACATGGAGAAACCCTGTCTCTACTAAAAATACAGAATTAGCTGGCATGGTGGCACATATCTGTAACCCCAACTACTCCGGAAGCTGAGGCAGGAGAATCGCTTGAACCCAGCAGATGGAGGAGGTTGTGGTGAGCTGAGATTGCGCCACTGCACTCCAACCTGGGCAACAAGAGTGAAACTCCATCTCAAACAAACAAACAAACAAAAGGTGCATTTCCATGCAGTCCACAGCATTTCTATGTAAAGGCAAGAATGCCATCATCTTAACTTCTTGAGATATTTTACAACATGCTTTTTGAAAGCCCCAGAACTTCCAGATGTTATGTCTGCTATATTTTTCTACACCAAAAGTTCTTTCTAATTTCTTCTGGAGATTTGATACATGGTCTAGTGTCATGATTTTGAACCTTGCAATGTTCTCTTCCAAGAATTTTGATTAAGTGTGATGTTCCTCTCACTTTCTATCTAGTTCTGAAATAAGAGCACAGTGGCTCTCTGGCAGAGATCCCTCTATCCATGCAATAATAGTGTATCATGACAATTTTAGGAGAGGATAATCTGACTGTTACTCAGTTGTGGACTTTAGCTGTAATTGTATGTAAAGAAAGATTTCACTGGGTTTCACAGGTTCCAGATTTGAAAGTTAGTAAGTAGGGAAGCAGAGGAGCTGGAAACCCCATTAGCTGTTCTGAGGTGGGAGGGCCATTGGATTCTATTTCTCTGACATTCAGAACTCTTCCTATAGTCTTTGCTTACATCAGGCTGAATAGAAGATGAAGGGGAGAATGGATTAGGTGACAGCAGCCAGGAATTTCCTTATATGCTTTTACACAGTGACTGAGTAAGCATGGGTTACTGTTCCTGGCACTGAGACTTAGCAGGTGCAAACAGGAAAGTGAGGAGCTTGTCCTGAGAATGGCAGGGGACACTGGTGGAGCTTGGCACAAAAGACTTAGAAAGCTAGTGGTTCTGCTGTGCCCTGGCAGTTTGTCTTGGCAGGTGTTCCTTGAGCAACTAAGATGACCTGCATGCTCCCTAAAACTGGTGCAGAGGGAATCTGTGCTCTTTCCTGCCTCCTTCAGGTTTATGAAGGGGCCACCTACTCATTATTTTAAAGTTTCAAATGTTTGACTCATGAATCTCTCATATAAAAGCATTTCCCATTGGTCCTACATGGCATGGGGGTTCATTAAAGCTGCAGAAAGAGGCAGACTGTTTGGCTGTTTCTTACAACTGGGCTAGAAGGCCACAGTGTGCTCATTTTGAGCATAAACTTGGAGGGTCTCCCAGCTGAAATGGAATCAAAGACTTCGGTGGCCTCAGGTTTGTTTACTTTTGGCATTGTCCAAGGTTTTCTGGCTCTCTGGTTGTTAGGGAGGCAAGAGATTCTGAATGGTCATGACCCAGAGTCAGGTTTAGCACTGGAAGGAAGTATATGCAAGCAAGATTAGCAATATCCTGATCCTTTTCCCTGAAACACGCAGGGGTGAGGGCTGGACCAGCTGTCTAAGACATCCCCTGAAACCCCCAGTGCAGCTGGATTTCTTCTTCTTTGTGCCAACAGGGCCTATCATTATAAGATCATACTGCTTCAAGGCCATGTGACAAGCATACTATGGGGCAAATAATACGGTAAAGGAGAATGAAAAAGGAACTGCATTCTCTCTTGTTTCATTCTCTTTGCAGATATCCTGCAAGTGTTATGCTAAAATATGCCTTTGATTTGAATATAAATAGCCCCACTTTTCTAATCCAGATGCAGCCATGTGCCTCTCTGCACAGGGTTGGTGATTCTCTGTTGCGTCTTGGGAGTAATAAGAAGATTCCACTGGAAAAAATGCAGGCAAATCAGCCCAGCTGAGATTACATAAAGGAGGAAGGAAAATTGGAGAAAGTGTGTAATAAACCTCAATATCTAGTTGAGTGTGATTTTTAACAAAAGGCTTTTGCGTTTAGCTCAATGACTTAGGATCTTCAGATAGTGAGTTGTTACTATAGGCAAGACAATTCTTCTGGAAATAAGAAAGTTGCTAAAACCAGAGGCTTAGGGGTGGATTTCAGCTCCTTGGTGATTTGTATTTAGAATTTCGGAGGCTTGGGTCTTGCTAATAAGTGACTGGGCATCTTATGGGGAAGTTCTACTTTACAGATCTAGGAGAGGGACCTCTTCTTTTGAAAGATCTTGTGAATTTTTATCCTAAGTTTTGCCTCTGCTATAGCCTCACCTGCACTATTCTTTGACTCCAAAGCTTGCCAATGTGTTTTGTATTTATCTTCTGCTTTGCTTCTCCAATGCTACCCATAAGTCTTTTTCTCCTGCCCTTAGATATTTTGGCCCTGTAGAGAAACATTTCCCAAATACATTCTCATTAGATCTATGAGATGCTGCACAATAAAAGACTTCATGGTCAATTGAGATTGAGAAATGATGCATACTACACACCTTTCTTGGAGATTTGTAATGCACTTTTTAATAGGTGCTAAAGGAAAGATATTTACACTTATTTAAGTGTGTGTGTGTGTGTATATATATATATATATATGTTTATTTAATAGCAACATGTTTATTAGCCTCCCAAGAATTAGTACTTCTCAGAATTTTCTTTGGGCATTTCTACTATAATGTCCACAAACTGCAAAACCTGTCTAGAGTACTAGACATGCAAGTTACTGAGAAATGGTCATGGATCATCAAACCCTCCGAAAAGGCTCTTTTGAAGGCAAAGGATGGTACGAGCCAATCCTATAAATAGAAATGAAAGGAATAAAATGTTCTGTAAAGCATAGACTGGCTAGAATAAGCTGGATTGGCTGCTGTCCATTAGGGAGAGGTGCTGAAACAGAGATTTCCCCTGGTGCTATTAAAAAATGGATTTCCGGCAGAGCTCTTAAAAAGTAACTGCTCAGGCCGGGCGCGGTGGCTCACGCCTGTAATCCCAGTACTTTGGGAGGCCAAGGCGGGCAGATCACGAGGTCAGGAGATTGAGACCATCCTGGCTAACACAGTGAAACCCCGTCTCTACTAAAAATACAAAAAATTAGCCGGGCGTGGTGGTGGGTACCTGTAGTCCCGAGGCTGAGGCAGGAGAATGGTGTGAACCTGGGAGGCGGAGCTTGCAGTGAGCCAAGATCGCGCCACTGCACTCCAGCCTGGGCGACAGAGTGAGACTCCCTCTCAAAAAAGTAACTGCTCAGAAAGTGCTGCATGAGACATCTAGATACAAACCCAGGGTAGCAAAACTGCACAAGGGACAACATGGGGAAAAAGGTACATACTGGACAATGAATTAACAGAAATAGGGTTTGATTTCACTATTCCCAGTAACTGGGTGTGTGAGCCTGGGCAAGCCATTTAGTCTCTCCATGTCTTATTTGTAAAATAAGATAATTGGATGGGATGCAAGTTCATTCAAAGTTCTAAACGTCATAATCCATAATGACTTTCTAAGTAGGTCTTTATGTGAGCACAAGAGAAATCAAACCAATGTGTATTTGCCCCAGGCCCCTGGGCTTCTCTGGTCCCTTTTATTTGGGAGGTGATATGCTTCACAACTATATGTGTTGCACTAATTCATAAAGGTATTCCATCCCAAGTCAATAACAAACTATAGCTTTGTGAAAGGAGTGAGTCCAATATGTTACAATCATCTTGGAAGCTTCAGTTACCTCTATTGAGAGGAAGGTTCTTTTTCTAAGGAGGCTGCTTTGAATCATGTTCTCAGCAAACATTTAATTAATAAGTACCTATTAATATTATGTACTAGACTCTGTTCTAGGCACTTGGGATACTTTGGATGTGTGTGTGGAGGAGAAACACAAAAGATAAAATTTCTCTACTCTCATGGAGTTTATATTCTAGTAAAAAGAGAAAATAAACATTAAGCCTAATAAATAATGTATATAGCAAAGTGTACATTATATAGTATGTTAGAAGATGATAAATACTACTGACAAGAAAAAAGAACAAGTGTAAGGAGGCATGGAGAATTTTAATTATAAATTGGGTAGTTAGTGTAAGCCTCATTGGGAAAGGGATCTTTGGGCAAAGACCCGAACAAGGTGAAAGAGTGAACACATGCCTGTCTAGAGGAAGAAAGACGCAGGCAGATAAAACATCCAGTGCAGAGGAAGAGGATGCCTGGCAGCTTCCAGGAACAGGGAGGGGACCTGTGAAGCTGGAGTGATGTGAGTAAGTGAATGTGTCACAAAGGGGAAGTCCCAGCTGCTTTGTCCTGCTGGGACAAAGACCTACTGAACATACTTAGGACAAATTTCATGTTCATCAGCAGCATAACCTGATTTTAGACTCCTTTTTCTTGTAGGAAGCTTCCTATCAGACTCTCTGCCTGGCCTGAGATATCCAGTTAACACCTGCAATTCAGAATACCCTCTCACCCAGCAATAAAGCATCCAGCCTTTGCATCTGTAACAACCTCCTCTGTAATTTGTGCATTCTATGGTGAGTTTAAATGCTGACTCTATCATTATCTGAGTTTATTACCATTGCTATTTGCATATGTTTAGTGGGGGAGGGGAAGAGTGGGGAGAAAACCTCTCCCCACAGATTGCAGCTTGGAAGTCTGCGTGTCTCTCCTCACCCTTACTTCCCCTTCCTGTCCCCTTCTCTTCTAATCCTCTGCCTTTTTTGGGGCCTGGGCCAGGGCCAGCCGTACTTAAACTAAGAATAGGTAAATGTTCTCAGTAGCCCTGTTGCCCTCTGCTGTGTCTGCCTACTCCCCTGTTCCTGCTGTGCATCTCTCCCAGCACTCCTGACTTTCAACGACTCAGTGCAGTACAGTGAACCTGTCTCCCTTCCTGCCCCATGAACCATCAATAGTGGTTCTCAATTAGGAAACGATAAATGTGCTCACATTAATTTGTCTAGAGGTTATCTCTTTTGGGGTGGGGTTTTGTTTTGTGACAGAGGGTATAGAAGCATTAGGGAGGATTATCAGAGTCCTGGAACCCTGAAAATTATTACCAGATATTAGGCAGGCACCTATTCAGAGAGCCAAACCCTGGCCTCTGCTGCCCACTCATCTCCCAGCTCAACTTTACCTGTTTTCCCTAAATTACCTTTCTGCACAGGAATTCACTGCCTTTTCTTGTTGGAGGGGTTGGCTAGGAAAACTTCTGTACGTTGTAAGATCTATAGTGAAATGTTAGCATGAGCCTCTGAATTGCTCTTGGGAGCCAGGAAGCAGCCCAAGCCCCAAGGGAGGGGAGGAATAAATTGTTGCCCAGTGGCCAGCAACTTGTTTTATTTTACAAGACTGTGTTTTCCATGTTGCTTGCATTTTGAAATAGTGTGCACAGGTGCCCCAGTTTGATTCAATTTCAGCCCTCACCATGATTTATGGTCCCATCTGATCACATCCAGATCACTTTGCTGTTTGCCCTTGTCTGCTGCGCTGCAGTTCATGAGTGGGGAGCCAGAGCCAGACATTTTAAGGATTCCGAGTGAACAAGCATGTCTGTTTCTCCCTCAAATTTTTACCCATGTAGGATTTAACATAATCAACAATGAGTCCAATCTGCATTTCTTTGAAAAGAGGCACTGCCAGCCTTCAGAGAATATTAAACTGAATGGAAAGATTACCGTTGTTAGAGATGCAAAACCCTTGAAAGAGCTAAAATGAGTAAAATGGCATTTTATGACCCATTTATGGCCTTGTGTATCCATATTCTTGCCATCACTACCCTCATTACCACCATCACCATCATCATGTTAATATAGTAGCCATCAGTTATTGCATACTCATTATTTTGTCATTTTGACAAATATTTTATGAGAATAGACTTCTTAAAATCTGAACCATCTTAAGAAGATACTGTTATTATCCTCATATTACAAATTTCTTAAAAACAGAAATATTGAGAGGTTTAGTAACTTGCCCAAGGTCAAATAGCCACAAGTCTGTATAATTAAATAAAAATAAATAGTTAAAATGTGTATGTACAAATAAAGATGGCTTTCTAGGTAGTAATTCACTCTAGGCAAGATTAAGAAGGCTTCTTGTTGGGCAGAACATCGTGTACGTTACCAATGCTAGGTCAGGACTCCAACTGTCAATACGTGGAAGGTAGCAAAGATCACCATGATGTTGGCTACCAGGAATAGAAGTTCAAATACTTTTACCCGCTGCTTCTTGGTATTGTAGTCACCAAGGAAACATAATACAGTCAAGCACGGACGGAACAATGCTTTAATCACATAGAGAAGAGAAAGAACAAGATCAGCTCCAATAGTATGTGTTGGTCCCCCATGGATAGTGGATCCCCCTAGCAGCCTAACTGGGGCAACTGGGTCATGAGCAGTCCTCACAATCTTAATAGGAGGACATGTACCCCTTCCATGTGTACTCTGAAATACTGAAAGCTGGGGGCATGCCTGAGGGCCATTGGCTTACATGCATAAGCAGAACAAAGAAGCATATATTGAGCTTGAAACAGTGAAAGCTATTCCCATACAAGGTAATAATGCTTGCACAGGCTGTGTGAGCTCTTTATCTCCTGGTAAGGAAGGGTTCCAGATCCAAGACACATTCTTATGTGGCTACTGGGAGGTGCAAAGACTGCATGCAGGAGACTGTCTTGCCAACATTTATTTAGGTAGCAAGCTTTTCTGGTGCCTTCAGGTAGGATTTTGCCACATGTTAACTACTCAGAAACACATCTCCTGCTTAAATAAGCCATCCCTGAATCACCCTTAGCCCAACCTCTCCTCTCTCTTTGTTGGGTCTTTTTCTCTATTGTATCCCAATACTATTGTATCCCAATAGTGACATGTGCCTGGCTCCTGGGTAGGTGCCTATGGACAAAGAATGCAAAGATTTCCTTGTTGGTGAATCTAAATGCCACTTCCTCTGGGAAGCATCCTTATCACCAAGCCATAGTACTCCTTTCTCTGCACCTGCAATGCACATTGTTTCTAGTTCAAGTACTAGTACTGTAGTATTAATAATACATGCTATGTTAATATCATTAATAATACTGCTTGAATAGCCCTAACAGCCCTTAGTCCCTTGTTCCCTATTTACTCTTCCCAATAGCCCTGCAAGGTAGGTACTATTGCTATCCTCATTATACAGGTGAGGAACTGAGGCATAGAGGAAGAGTAACTTGCTCAAGATCATCCAGCTAGTAAGTGGCAGAGCCAGGATCATGGATCCAGGCAGTTTGGTGCCAACATTCAGGCCCTAATCACATTCCTCCCTCAGTGGTTGGCTTTACTGTTTTTCACTTGTCAGTTTTCTTTTTTCTTTCTTTTTTTTTTTTATTATACTTTAAGTTCTAGGGTACATGTGGATAATGTGCAGGTTTGTTACATATGTATACCTGTGCCATGTTGGCGTGCTGCACCCATCAACTCGTCAGCACCCATCAACTCATCATTTACATCAGGTATAACTCCCAATGCCATCCCCCCCACCCCACACGCCGTGATAGGCCCTGGTGTGTGATGTTCCCCTTCCCGAGTCCAAGTGATCTCATTGTTCAGTTCCCACCTATGAGTGAGAACATGCGGTGTTTGGTTTTCTGTTCTTGTGATAGTTTGCTGAGAATGATGGTTTCCAGCTGCATCCATGTCCCTACAAAGGACACAAACTCATCCTTTTTTATGGCTGCATAGTATTCCATGGAGTATATGTGCCACATTTTCTTAATCCAGTCTGTCACTGATGGACATTTGGGTTGATTCTAAGTCTTGCTATTGTGAATAGTACCGCAATAAACATACGTGTGCGTGTGTCTTTATAGCAGCATGATTTATAATCCTTTGGGTATATACCCAGTAATGAGATGGCTGGGTCATATGGTACTTCTAGTTCTAGATCCTTGAGGAATCGCCATACTGTTTTCCATAATGGTTGAACTAGTTTACAATCCCACCAACAGTGTAAAAGTGTTCCTATTTCTCCACATCCTCTCCAGCACCTGTTGTTTCCTGACTTTTTAATGATTGCCATTCTAACTGGTGTGAGATGGTATCTCATTGTGGTTTTGATTTGCATTTCTCTGATGGCCAGTGATGATGAGCATTTTTTCATGTGTCTGTTGGCTGTATGAATGTCTTCTTTTGAGAACTGTCTGTTCATATCCTTTGCCCACTTTTCGATGGGGTTGTTTGTTTTTTTCTTGTAAATTTGTTTGAGTTCTTTGTAGGTTCTGGATATTAGCCCTTTGTCAGATGAGTAGATTGCAAAATTTTCTCCCATTCTGTAGGTTGCCTGTTCACTCTGAGGGTAGTTTCTTTTGCTGTGCAGAAGCTCTTTAGTTTAATTAGATCCCATTTGTCAATTTTGGCTTTTGTTGCCTGATTAGGTTGCCACCTCAAAGGCGGGGTTTGAGACTTGCACATATCTTCGTCCTCAGCTCCCGGCCGATTGCCTGGCACCTAGCAGTCACTCAGGAATTATTTGGCATGGGACTGAATGAAAGATAGGTGTTCACTGGGTAAGGACTTGGGGGCAGCTCACCCAGGATTTTTTCATTGCTTTAAGGCACTTAACTGCTAACTGGACCCTTTGTTTCAGGGCAGACAGAGTGATAGAGGCACAGGAAGTATTGAAGGACAGGCTTTGCCTGCCTCGTTTTATCCTAATCGGTTAGTTCACATCTTCTTTGACACTGTCCTTGTTTTCAGAAGAGAAAGGGATTTAGGGTGCGTCTTACCTTTAAAAGGAGGCTTTTTTCCATTTGTTTCTACAGAACTGCGCTGGTTTTTTCCCACTGGGATTGCATTTATCTCACCCCCATTTATTCTCCATTAATATCTCCACAGTGGCAATTATTACCCCTCATCCATGCCTGTGTGTGTCTGTCTGCCTTCCCCACCTCCACCCTGACTGTGAACTTCTTGAGGCAATGACCTCAAGAAGAATGACTTGTCTTAGTCATCTTGTATCTTGTCCAGCACAGGGCCTGGCCCACCAGAAGCCCTCAAACCATGCTTCTTAAATGAAAAACGCTTAGTCATTGGTAGATCTGTGGTGCAGGAAAGTACAGGAATGAAGTAATTATCCAGCTTTTTTTTTTTTTTTTTTGTAAAAGAAGAGACTGATCTTTGGCTCAAGGAACCAATAATCATTTAGGACTCGTTTCTCATCATCTTTCCTCTCTCTTTCCCTCCAGCTCTTGTCATTTGATAAGTGATGCAGAAAAATTCTTCTCTCAGGATTGGATAAGAGAGACTGAAAAGGTAGTTGGACTGGGTGGGGGGCAGGGAGTTGGAGGAAACATAAAACAATAAAGATGATTTAATTTATATCTGATCATAGCAACCAGCTGGCTATACCATCAGTTATTACACCCTAGTAGTTATTAAAGAGCACCTCTATCATAGGCACCTTATTAGCTAGGGATTTATGGAGCACACAGGTACAGGAGGAAATATTGATATTTCATTCACAACATCACCTGTGGATGCCTGGGTTGTCTGTCTCTCAGTCCTATCTC